CTTCACAGGTTCCTCGCACTTCAGGACTGCGGCAGGGCTTGGGGTTGCCCTGAGAGAGATGGAGAACCTCATGTACTTGGAGCTATGGTGCGCTGAGTTGTGAATTTCCAGTCACATTTTTCTTCATCTTGAACCACCAAAAAATATGATTTTCAGCATATTGTTTGCTGCGCTTTCTTTTTGATTCCATGGACATGATATTGTTATTTTGATTTTTCTCAGCTGCCACGGTCCAGTGGCTGCAGGTTCATGAACTTGCCATGTTTGGAAGAATTCGGATGCTTCAGTTCTGCTTTGCAGTCTTCGCGAAACCTGGAGAGTATAGTTATTGATCTCAGCGGATGTGGCCAGGTGTCGATTGATGCGAGGATGGAACTTCACCAATCCATCAAGTCACTGAAATGGTTGCGAAGCAGCTTGGACACTTGGGTGAACATTGAAGGTTTGCCAAAGCGAGAATGGTTTGCTCGATTTGCTCCTGTTGATTTTGGCGGTGTCAACAAAGGGCGTTGCACCCGGAGCTTCCGTTTCATCTGGCAACGCATGCGACAACTCAGCGCCCGCCAGCTGCCGCCTGTCAGCTCAGTGTACTTTGAGCCAACCAGGTTTGGCAGGTCCAGCGCCACAAGCAGTGATGAATCAGCTGGAGAAGATGCAGAGACAGAGACTTACAGCACTCAACAGGAGATGTTTGATGAAAACAAACCGTTCCCATGCAGCCATCCTTCATGTCATTCTTTTCACTCTTCTGAGAGCGGTTATTGCGAAAGGCACCGCTGGTCGGGCCTTTTCAAGAGGATTTGTGTTGCGGTAAATGCTTGGCGCCAGAATGTGGAGCTTAGTGTGCTGATTCTTGCACAAGCAGTGGCAGAGGTAGAGAGCCGACTTTTGTTGGTTCTTCTGGTTCTCAGCCTGTTGCCCGTTGCAAGTTATAGCTTTTCTCAGTCAACAGGAGTGTCTGGCACGTTGATTTTTGTGATTGTTATCTCAATAGCAATTGTCAGCATTGTTTACACCACAGCTCGGCTCAACCGAATGCAAACATTGTCAAAGAAGCTTGAAGTTGAATCGGAAGCTTTGTATGCAAAGAATTTGCAGAATGACATGTCCAGGCTTTTTGGTGATTGGGGTAGAGACGATATTGCCCAGTCTCAAGTCACAAGCTTGACGGAACATTTCCTCGAAGCCAAGAAACATCTTGATGACTTTGACAAAAATCTGTGCCTTCCACTGCGAGAGTTCTTGGAGGAGCAGCCTGGTTCCATATCTCGGCATGATTTACGGCCCGTACTGATGACAGTGCCAGTGGCACAAGAGGCTGTCGTGCGAGAAAGTGGATGGGACAAAATCTTAGATCTCTTGTATTGCGATGTAATCTTCGATGATTGGGAAATAATGCTCAGTGCGTGGTGCTTTCTCAAAACCAGAGCAGAGCATGATGAGTTGAGAGAAATCAAGATCGTGCGTACTCGCGATTCTTTTGCTTCAGTCCAAGCTGGTGTCAGATGTGCCGAGATGGTGGTCAAGATCAACCACTATTTAGCAACGATCCGTTTCCGTGAAGCCTCCTTGACAAAGCTGGAGAATCAAGTGGATGATGTGCACCACTTGGCAGAACAGGTGGGACTTCTGGCAGGCAGTTTGCAGGTAGATCCTTTGCTTATGTCTGGGCGACCAGCGCAGCAATCACGATTAGTAGTCGTTGTTGTTGCTTTGCTTCGGATCAGCTCATTGCTTGCAGCAGTGTACCTTGGGGGGCAATACTTTGTGCGGTACAGTCCACCTTTCATCCGCTCGAACCTTCCAAAACTGATCCGAGATGCTTTTGCTCTCAAGCAGACAGTTGAGCCCAGTGATGGGAGATTGCCGGAGGCTGCCGCTGCTGATTCTGGATGGTTGGAGGAGAGCCTTTCGCAGCTGTTGCCTTCCATTGTTTTCTCTTTGCCATACCTGGCCTTTATCATCGTCCTCCTGAGCGACTTGCGCCGGTGTCGGTCAGCCAATATCAAGTTGAGACCGCTGAAACCCACCCAGTTCCTCTATGAGGAGTATTTTGGCATTGAAGGCAAGCTCTACGGCCTCAAAGTTGCAATGCTGCAGTTATTCACAGTGATGCTACAGGCCTTTGGAAAGCTCCAAATTATGGGTGGCCTTGTGTCATTTGCATTCCATTCAGCTCCGAAGCATTCAGATGCGTTTGAAGGATGTTTTTGGGCTTTTGTGGGGTTCCTATGTTTGAACAGCATCTATCCAACGATTTTGTTGGCCTTCCCCTCCATGAAGTGGGTGCGCCGGGCCGCTGCGATGATGGATGCGGTTCTTGATATTGCTTACACCAGCACGTACCTCATCATCACCTTGCTGGCCATCTACGAACTACAGCTGGGCCAAGCCATTTCAGGAAATTTTGGGGATGTGGATTCAGTGAACTTCCAAGCAGAATTGGACCCAGCATTTGCATTCCCAGCCGACTTTTTTGGTTTCTTTGCTGTCTACTATTCACTTGCACATGTTTGCACCGTTTGCCGTGCCTTAGAGCGAAGCGATCGATCGACCTACTGGAAGAAGTTGCAAAGCTTACCGAACTCTGCTTCCCAGTCACTGCTGAGTCCATCGCGATTTTCTTGCTCAAATAGATACCGGATTTGTTGCAAAGCGTTGCATATTTGCTGCATTGGTTTCGCTTTATGTTGTTTCTGCAATTTTCAATCCATCAATCATCGTTGTTTCGCAACCTGCTGACACAATTTGTCATGTGAGTATCTCGAAGCCCCTCAACTTGTCAACATATTTGTACAGAGGAGGCGTCTTGTTGTTCTCAGCTTTACTGTACTTGCTGCACCCTTTTGTGCGTCCTAAAGCATACTAATAATAATACACCACTTCTTAAGTTGTTGTTCCCAAGAGCATCAACAGCTTTGCAATCTCAGCCAAGGGGGTTCCAGGGCTTTTGAAAGGTTTTTCAGCACGTTTCAGGCTTCCCACTTAGTTTCACAGGTCCAGGATTCCGAGGTGCATTCCAAGTATTTCAGGGTTTCCAGGGTTCCAGGATTCCACAGTTGCAAGGTGCTGTCGGATGGCATAGTTCCAGGAGTCCCAGCAAAGGCACTCGTGAAGTTAAAAAATGGATACCTATATCATACCGATATTTTCAATGTCAATCCCCTTGAGAGTTGGTTTCTGGAATGGCCCCCTCCCTTTCATTCCATCGGGCTTTGATGGATGAACTCGAGTTCTTTGTTTCTCCTTGCAACCACTGCTCAGGTATTCGCCCTGTTTGCTTGTAACGATCATTGCTCTATTGCTTTCAACGCACTTCTACCCGATTGACACGGCTGATTTCGGATGCTTTCCGTGCCGCTGTCATGGTGCAAAGCACCTTGCGAGTTGCAGCCTTATAGGCATTCTTCGCCTCAAAGATGTGAGCTTGAGTGAGCAGGACATCACAAGTGTTGCAGAGGATGCCTTCACTTCTTCACGGAGTTTGCAACGGTTATCGCTCTCTGGCAATCGGTTGTCATTTTTACCTGAGAAGGTGTTCGCTCCTTTGGACAGCTTGCAATTGCTGGACTTGGGCCGCTTGGGTTTGAAACACTTGGAGTCTGACACGTTCACGGGCTTGTCAAACTTGAGAATCTTGTCGCTCAGTCAAAATGGTTTGAAGGAGCTGCCAGAAGGCTTGCTGCGCCCCATGCCAGCTCTGGAGCAATTGTTGCTGGGGGGCAAATCTGATGAGGGGGGCTTTCGCATCGTTGATGGAAACGAGCTGAGCATACTCCCGCAAGAGCTTTTGCAGCACAGCCTGCGGCTACAAGTTCTCGATCTGAGCGAAAACAAGTTGACCTCGCTGCCACACAACGTCCTTGATAGAATTCCTTTGTTGGAGACCCTCGACCTTGGTTCAAACAAGCTGACTGATTTGCCAGGCAAAATCTTTTCAAGGCTCCGCAAGTTGCAGGAGCTCAACCTGGGCGAAAACAAGCTCAGCGATTTGCCTGCTGAAGTCTTCTCAGGGCTCAGCAGCTTGCAGAAGCTCGACCTGTGGGGGAACAAGCTCAGAAGGTTGCCTGCTGAAGTCTTTGCAGGACTCAGCAACTTGCAGGAGCTTGACCTGCATTTCAACGATCTCAGCGAGTTGCCTGCTGAAGTCTTCTCAGGTCTCAGAAACTTGCAGATTCTCAACCTGAAATCCACCAAACTCAGTGAGTTGCCTGCTGAAGTCTTCTCAGGACTCAGCAACTTGCAGGAGCTTGACCTGCATTTCAACGATCTCAGCGAGTTGCCTGCTGAAGTCTTCTCAGGTCTCAGCAGCTTGCAGAAGCTCAACCTGAGGTACAACTCGCTCACTCGGTTGCATGCTGGAGTCTTTTCAGGACTCAGTAACTTGCAGGAGCTTGACCTGTGGTCGAACTTGCTCAGTGAGTTGTCCGCTGAAGTCTTTTCAGGACTCAGCAACTTGCAGGAGCTGACCCTGAGTTATAACAAGCTCAGTGAGTTGCCTTCTGAAGTGTGGGCCCATCTCTTCGCAGATCTTAGCAACTTGCGGAAGCTGAACCTGTGGTACAACAAACTCGGGGAGTTGCCTTCTAAAGTCTGGTCCAAATCATTTGCAGGGCTCAGCCACTTGCAGGAGCTTTACTTGGGCGGAAACGATCTCAGTGAGTTGCATGCTGGAGTCTTTTCCGGGCTCGGCAACCTGCAGAAGCTTGTCCTGAATGAGAACAGGCTCAATGAGTTGCCTGTTGAGATCTGGGCCGATCTGTTTGCAAACCTCGACAACTTGCAGGTGCTCTTTCTGCGTGACAACAAACTCGGCGAGTTACCCGCTGAAGTCTGGGCCAATATGTTTTTTGGGCTTCACACGTTAGAGAAGCTTTGGCTAGACTATAACGGTCTTAACAAGTTGCCTCTGGAAGTCTGGGATCATCTGTTTGCAGGGCTCGACAACTTGCGGTTGCTCAACCTGGGGAACAACAAACTCAGCGACTTACCCGCTGAAGTCTGGGCCAATATGTTTTCAGGGCTCGGAAGCCTGCAAGAGCTTTGGCTAAACGGCAATGATCTCAGTGAGTTGCATGCCGAAGTATGGACCAATATGCTGTCAGAACTCGACCAGTTGCAGAAGCTTGTGCTGTACCGTACCGGTCTTAACGAGTTGCCAGCAATTTGTTCAAAAGTAGAGTGCCGCAACTACTTGAACTGAGATATCCTGCGGTTACGCTGTCTGTTTCTGTGAAAACGATGGAATACTCTGCCTGGGGCTGGGATTTCGCAGTGATGAGGCGAAAAAAGAGCCTCCGCAGTCATTTCAACGATCCCTTCCAAAGTAGTTTCATGTTGTGTTCGCGCATTCTGATGTTTTTTCATGATTTTGCGACTCGTTTTGGGAGCGCATGCATTGGGTGACCGAGGTCCAGTGCACCCACTGCAGTGGCACCTGGCGTGCTGCAACTGGAGAGACGATCTGAAAAGACCGAGGCACCAGAACTCAGTCCAGTCGAAGTCGCCAACGTTATCAAAGTCACCTTGAAACTTTCTGTTCCTGTTGTGATCTTTGGGTGGGGTTGTTGGCGTGGGATGTCTTCCCCAGTATTTCCAGCTTGCCTTTGCTTGGAAACTCGTTTTCAGTCTTTGTAGGGTTCAAGATTGGCCCTCTTGTGGTGAAAGACTTCCACCAAGAAAAAGACAGTCTGAAGGGAGCAGAACAGAAGTTGTTTCTTTGAAAAACGTGGAAAGAAGCCGCTGAGATAGGTGTAACCACTGTGTCCACCGCATGAAGTGCTGAGCGCTGCCATTCGGCACGCTGCGCCTTGGACCAGGCACCAATGGCTCCAAATGGGAACATCACACCGAGAGTTTCTGAGTTTCGACAAGTTGTGGGTGTATGACTCATTCCTTTTAAGAACATGACAACATCATACAACAAAACACAACATAACACCATCTAACACCATTGGAATCCAGAATCTGGTGGGGGTCGATCCGCTGGGTCAAAATCCATGGCTTAGCTTGGAAAAAGGTGCTTGGACTTGACCCTGGAAGATCTCAAATGTTTTGGATTGTTTTGGTGCATCGCTTGAGGAAAGCTTTGCAGATAGTGACAATTGCAAGGGTTTCTACCATGGAGGACGATGCAGCAAGGGTTAGGGTTTATCCATGTACACGCTTATAACTTACAACATCTTATCAATGCCAGAACTTGTATGGAAGTTCAGCACCTTCAAGTTGAGATGGTTTCCATTGTTTGCGGTGTTTACGCCACTCAATGTGTGGACCGATGAAGGACAACCATGTGAAAAATCCGCAAGCTGCTCCATATTACCGGCTTTTCGCAAGTGCACGCACACCATTACACAACTCTGGGGATTCCGATATTTAGACACCAGTCATATCCTGATAAAGGGCGCCTTATCCAAAAGTCCCCCGTTTGCTGGGACGTCCCGAGTGGAAATAGGCTTCGTACGGGGAAAAAGATGAGCCTGGCTTCATCCCAGCCCTGCAGGAAGTTCACTGCGGCAGCGGCTCGAACGCCCAGCACTGCGCGACGAGTTTCGAGAGTCGTGGGGTGAGGATTTAGTATGATTTAGTCAGGGATGAAATTAGTCCGGGATGAGGACATGGCCAGGGATTTAGAGTTGATACATGTTGATACCAATTGACATACTACTAGTAGCACAAATTTTTATCATGAAAAACAACGAGATTATGACCTTGATTATCATTGGCAGCAACATTTCTGGAACATCTCGAAGATTGCATACATTCCCATCATCTTTCAAGCACTATGCGGCCCATGGATTTTGGACAGGTCAACTGTATTGAGAGACAACATGAGACAACAATTTTCGAATTTTCCGTTGAGGCTTGGTATTCTAAGAGAAACCCGGGTCCACCTTCCCTGTCCCAGAGAGATGTTGAGGCCCCCGGTGCAGGTGGCAAGTGCTTCCAACCCCAACAGGTATCCTTTGGTTGTGAAACCTGGTGATAGGAGATTTTCCTATTGAAGCATTGGGTTTCCATGGCCAGGCTACGCTATTGGAGGATGTACATTTCAGAATTCGGAGTAATTACATTATTTTCAAACCTGTGGGTCATGTGGTTCCTGAAACTCGCCTGTCGACTTTTCGCTTGTCATCTCAACCCTGTCTGATCCTGCCCAGCGCCGCAAAGGTGCATTTTGCCGCCAACTCTGCCAGAGGACGCCACGTCAGCTGCTGTCCTTGGAATTAGAGTTGTTGGAAATTGGAGAAAATGTGCGTTGCCCTGTTCCCTTAGGGTTCCGGGCAAAGCCAACTTGATGCCCCCGATCTTGGTGCAACAGAATCTTAGAGTTTGGCGATTTCGCATCATTCATTGGTGTGGGTTCGACACCTGCAGGACCTCCCTGCAGTGGTCCTGGAAGAGTGCGGAAACCAAGCATTGAAGATTTGAGATTTGTTTGATGCATCAAAAGATGTCGAAATATAGTATATCTGAAGATGCACTCCAGCTATTTAGACATGGCTTCCTTTTTGAAGGGTTATGTGAAGTGGTTTTGGTTGTTTTGGGAATATTGGCTCATGTTGGCTTGGCCATGTTTATCTGTTGTTTTGGAGGAAGTTTGGTTGTTTTTGTCCCTCTGGCGTTTTCTCAAGACGGACTTGTACTGCATTTGCACTGTACGGTGCTATCGACTTTGACATGAAAACCACATCAGTCAAGCAAGCCACATAAGAACAAAGCAACCAATCTCATGTTTCTCAAGAGACAGTTCCAGCAGACCACGTGTTGACTGCAATTTCTGTAATTCGTGCTGCTGGTTGGCGCAAAGGATTCGCTGCCTCAATGTCGGTCTCTGTGGATATTCCTGGACATGGTCACTTTGATATCAAACTGACTGCTTCGAGCACCATGGGAACAATGTGCTTTCAAGTGGGGTCTGCCAGCTACAGTGCGATGACATTGTGGAGGCAACCCACCACAGCACTCTAGTCTTGACAAACTACGCAGAGATCACCAACCAGGAGACAAACATGCCAAATCCTCACTAGCCGATGGCCAATCACGATTTAGAAACTATATGCCAACAATACTCGTACCAACAAATACCACCAAATACCAACAAACACCAACAAATGCAGCAGTGTGATGAATCGATTCAATTTCAGTGTTTTTGGATTTAGTGGTTTCAACATACTCTGGACACTGGTGGCTTGTAAAACGTATATCTGCTCCTGACTTAAATGGGGGGAAGGAACTGCATTGAGAACTTGTGAAGCAAAGGCGAGAGTACCAATAGAATGATTCCACCTTTGAGGGTGCTGCACAATGCTTTTTGAATTCCATTCTAATTTCATTGCATTTGTTGGTGCGCCCCACACACGTCGGAGGAGGCTTTCCGCATTGAAGATACTGCAGAGCGAGGGATCACTCGCGAGCAATTGGCAAAGATCGTTGTTTTCATCTCCAAGATGGCTGACAGATGGTGCGAAACGTTCGGAGAACAGCGTGGGACAAGGCTGCAGTTTGAGACCTTCAACCTGTATCATGCGAATCACTGGATCATCAAACCAGCCACCGAAGCCTGGATCTGTTGATGATGTGACAACATTTTCCAATTTGAACAATCTACCGTTTTTCTTTTTTTAATTGGCAACATTATGCAGAATCCCAGGACGGCTATGCGAAAAAGGGCTGCAGCATGGTAGAGCTCATGGCGATTCAAGTTCAGAGACCTCATTGGTTTGTGTCACATGCTTGGATCGAGCCTTGGATAGGCAAACCCTCAAGGTTGTTTGAGATCGTGTTATTGCATCGTCTGTCAGCAACAAGTTACTTTTTCCGCTAATAATTCACATTCCCCTAGAAGCCTTGGTTGAGTTTTGGACTTGTTTATTTCGGACCCTCAATAGGATGCTGTATCAAAAAGAAATGAGCATCGAGCGTAATGATAGGTGAAAGTCAATCTATTGCTTTGAAGCACGTCCAATTTTGTGTTGGGCAGATCTGTGAGGAGCCTGTTTGTAAGTTTCTGGCCTGCTTGGAGCAGCATGCTCTGGTGCGAGAACTCTCAAGCAGTACATTCTATTGGGTCTGTGCATATGCCAATAACCAGCACTGCGTGGAAGAGGATATCAAAAGCAACCCGCGCAGCACTTCATTCTACAGAGCTATGCAGATGTCTGAGGGAGTTCTTTTGGTGCTGGATTCAGCTGGAACGCCTTTCGCCCCGGGAGGGGGGCGCAGCTATGACCTGGCATGGCTGCGCGGGAATTAACCCGATATCCGGTTGCACGACTCCGGATGATAAATACCTCCCTGGTCGGGGGGTGCTTTTGCCACCCCGACTATGTCATGGCGCTCAGCGCGAACCTGGAACCTCCAGGCCTGTGGTGTTTACTTTGGCGCCTCGCCAAAGATGATGTGATCCAGGATATTGCAGACGAGGGCTGCTACAGTTTTGGTTGGCGGCTGCTGCAGACGTGGCAGTCGCAACCTGCTATACGGCGGGAGTTTTGTGGAGCTGAGCGCTTGGCCCAGCTTGTGTGAGGCAGGTGAGCTCGGTTCTTGCTATTGGATGATGGGGCGCTTCCATGGCATGGCACGCTGCGTGCACTTGACGGCTGCTCTTCTTCAGGCCGTCTACCGCAGCTGCCTCTTTGCCTCGGTTGAGCACATCTTTCACTGGCTACCACTGGTTCACTTCGATGCGTGATGGGCGAGGGCCCGTCACCGAATTGAGTGCAGATGGTGCTAGACCATCCGTTGATGTATCCACGCCTGGAAGAGAGGCAACTTCTGCTGTGGCGGAAGTATGGTTTGGCGAGCATGTGGTCACCACATCGTTCTCTACGATTGGCTGGTGACTCTTGAGGCAGCATTTTGCTGCCAAGGTTCTTGTCTTCCACCCACGCTGGAAGTTGTATTGTACAGGATTGCGAGCTTTGTCTCAAGCTACCCTCCAGGAGTGGGGGTGGCCCCCAGCGCCTATGGCGCCCGAAAGCTGCCTCTAGCCACCTCCTTCGTGGGGCCCAGGCTGTGTGCAGCATAGTAAAACCACACCCAATCCAATCCAATCCAATCCAATCCGAACGCCTTTCGGCAGCTATCTGGACAACCTCCGCGCGGTGGCTGCGGGTCTATGCATTGCTGATGGGCCCTGGCAGTGCTTAGAAACGAATTGTTCAGATGTGGTGCTTGCAAGTTTCGATTTGCTTCAGAAGATTTGGGCTGTGTCTTCAAAAGAGCGGAACGCACTGATGCATGCCATGCATGGCAATGGTGCAGGAAGCAGAGCAACAGCTCGCAAAAGGAAACAGAAACAAAGCAATAACCAAGCAAATGGCTTCAATTTGCAACAAGCAGGTGAGATTCTCAAACTACTCTCTCAGCTTTTCCAATTGTTGGGACTCGGGGGTGGCGGTGGGAATTTGCTTCAACAGCTCAGTGCTATGATGGGCCATGGCGGGTGTGCCAAACCCAAGAAGCTTAAGAACAAGAACAAAAATAAACAGGGCGGTGATGGTGGTCTGGGGGATTACGGCCAAGGGGGTGGTTCTTACCCTTCTTCTCCTCCTACTCAGCCTCCGCAGAATACTTCGAAACCACATCCTAAGCAAAAGGCGGACGTCCAAAAACAGCCACACACAGAGCAGCAGCCCCACAAAACGCCCAAGACCTTTGCTGAAGTGGTTCGAGCCAACACTGCGTTTAAGCCGGTGTGGAGCCTGCGTCAGTCAGACTGGACGGGGCCCATTTTGGGCTTTGATGACTTTAGTGTCGCACTGGATAAGCCTGGAAATATTTCAGCTACAGTGCAAGTGAACTCGGAAGAGCAACTTGAGGAGTTGCAGGTTTTGCTGAAAGGCGATTCCCCTGATATCAAAAGAGAGCTCAACATCACAGCTGTGATGCTAGCGCCGAAAGAGGCCAAGCAGACTGAGGAGGATCGACCTTTGCGGATGGTGCCAGGAAAGATTTCGGGCAAGGTGCAGCCCAGGCAGGCGTTTGTGATCCCACTTCAAGGCCAAGGGCCATCACTCAAGAGAGCTGCCGTTGTGTCAGCGGCTCCTGCAGTGCAGCCTGAAACTGTTGTAGTGAGATTAAGTGTTGATGCAAAATATTTGCAAAACAACGAGTGGCAGAGCATCCAGGCCAAGCCAAAGGCAAACGCGCAGGCTTGGTTGCATCGGCATGTTCCAGAGCATGTTGCGGACAAAGTCTTTGATATGTGAGCGTTTCAGCAAGAAAGCATGAAAGGCGGAGGCAAGCCAGTGATCACTGGCCTTTTACGCATTGAGCGTAGTGCTGCCAAAGCTCTTCTAGGCTGCTCAGGCAAAAGTACCTGGTTTGTGGAGCCTTTGCAATGGAACAACTCCGTGGTTGAATCTTGCGATGTTGAGTGGGTCAAGAAAAGTTCGGAACTTGATGGGCCCAGCTACTTGCAGAAGGTTCAGTCCATGGCTGGTGACCTGGGCATTGCCCGGGGATGGAATGGACTGGGAGTACGTAAGCCCAGGAGCACCGAGCCTCCTCCTAAGGCCAGAGCTTGGCGCGTCACTGGTGTTCCGCGAGATTGGGCGGCTAGTACCTTGACTCAGGAACTTACACGTGCTGGCCTGACTGAACTCAAGGTGTTGTCCCGGAAAACTGTGGGCAAACAAGTGGAATGGTGGGTGCAGGCCAATGCCCAAAAGGATATGGATTTCATTGAAATGCAGGCTGGCGAAAAAGTCATTGTAGCTGTTGAAGCTCCAAGACAAAGACGGCAGAGAACACATACCATGAAACTGGCTAGCAATGGAAGGGTCAGTTATAACCAGAGCCATGCATGGCAGGCGATTGCCACGCCTGCTCCTCGCAAATCTTTCTACATGGGAACGCCAGTCAAAAAGCCAGTGACTATTGCAGGGGCTGAGAAGGTTCCTACTGAGAATTTGGATGAGGACAAGTCGGACGCAAAGATGGACAATGCTGGAGAACCCGCTGGGGCAAAAAGAACTGTCAGTACTCCTGAAAAGAGTCCTCCGGCCAAGCGTGTTGCGGGGGAACCCAAGCCCCCTCACAATATGAAGGTGAAAAGCATCCCTGCTGACGGCAACTGTCTTTTTGAAGCCCTTGCTCAAAGTTTGGGCGGAAAAACGGCCAGGAATGTGCGTGCAAGCGTTGTCACCCACCTGACCAAGCACCAGGGTCGTTACAAGCCCTGGTGGGACGGCAAGGAGCCAACAGAGGCGGAGAATGCTTGCGAATCATGGGAGAGCTATCTCACCATGCTCTCAAAGATTGGTGCTTGGGGCAGTGCTCTTGAAGTTTCTGCTGCGGCTGTGCACTACGATCGCCCGATCATTGTCTTCCAGCCTCGTGGTGTTCCGGAGATTTACAATGGTCGTGGCAAGGGTGGTGCTCCCATCGCTTTGTGGTTTCGTTCAAAGCATTATGAACGACTTGAAGGTGCTTTCCCGCCTGAAGTTTTGACTCAGGCTGCAAATGGTCCAATGCAGGGCAACAGAGGTGGAGGATCGGAAAGTGGCGCTACTTCAGTTGGTGCCACCAGATTGTCAGCTTTGCCGTCACTGGTTCATAGCAGCAAGAAACGTGGAAGGTGTGCTAGCCCCGCGCCCGCTTCTTCTTTGTCAGAGCAGCGCAAGAATTCTTCTTCCCCTGCGGCTGCTAGTTCGGGTCGGGGTCCGTGCACGCCACGTGCAGCCAGTGAAGGACAAGACGCAGCCAGTGCTTCGTCTAGACGCACTAAGCGTACTGAGTGGACATGCCCTTTGTGTGACTTTTCCACTGGGGTGTGCAAAGGATGGGTTGACAAGAAGAGAGCTCATATCAATGCTTGGCATCCCGATGAGAAGGAACAGTTGAAAATCGGCTTCAAAAACACTTTGCCTGCGCTGTCTGCAGTCAAGAAGGGAGGAGTCTATAGCTGGAAGTGTCCTGTTTGCAAACTTGGCTTGTCCGCTGATCACAACCTCAAACCTGGCCAAGTGTACAGCGTCATCCGCAAGCATAGGGAAGACAAACATCCTCAGGCGGATGCCAAGCTCTTCCACAAGGACAGCAGCTTCAGACGGGAGAATGCTAGCAAAGCCACGCGCCAGGTGCGTGCAGCTGCAGTGGCTCGAAGGTTGCTTGGCTTCAAGCGTGGCGATGCTGGAGCACATGACCCCACTTTCGTTACCATTCCAGCCACAGGAAATGGCAAACAGAAAAGCGTTGGAATGTCTTACGTCATTTGCAAAACTTGTGGCAGTATGGCTTTGACAGCGAAGCGTTTGGCAAAGATTGCTTGTGAACAGTATGCTTCCAGCAAAGGGCCCAAACGAAAGCAGTTGGTGGAAAGATTGCGTGCGTGCCTCAAAAATGCAGACATCAGCGATGACCTCAAGAAGGGTGCCCGCACAGTTTTGGAAATCATCGACTCTGGAGCAGTTCGCACCACTGATACTGCAGCAGACAGCACGCATCAGATTGAGGCCATTGTGTGGCCTGCCAATTTTACGGTGCGTTTTGCTTGTGTGCATTGCAAGCGTTGTGTCAACAACATCAGACGGCTTACAGGAAGTCAGTGTCCTCGTAAAATGGTTTGGACTAAGTTTCGAAAGGGCCAGAGGGATATTTTGGTGCCTCTTGCGGCTCAGGCTCCAAGTGCCAGACAGCGAGCTGCTTCGCGAGCTTTGGACATTTTGGGATTGCAGCAGGATGGCGCTGTGGATCAGAACCCATGACGGGCTCTGACAGCACTATGCGGTTGGGGACTATGAATGTACGGTCCTTGGGAGGCCGCTTGGGTGGTGTGCTTGACTTTGCTCAGCTCCAGAATTTACATGTTCTGTGTCTTCAAGAAACTAGAGTTAACAATCACAGCTGGAATGCTGTGACTCGTGCCGTCAAGGCACGCGGGTGGCAACTTTTTCCTGGCCCTCAAGGAAGAAATTCGAAAAATGTAGTGGAAGGTGGTACATTGGTTCTAACAAAGTGGCCTGCTGAGGCCTTGGCCCTTCCTGTCGACATGGTGTCTGTGGAAAGATCCATGGCCGTCAAACTCTATAGACCTCGGCAAAGGCCGTTGATTCTCATCAATGTTTACTTACATGCTTCAGATCGCACAGCTGCCAGCCGTGCGCTGGGTGCGCTGTTCGAGTTTGTTGCTGCTTGTGGTGAAGATACAGTGATCATGGGTGACTTCAATTTGGAAATTCATTGTTGGCCAATTTCTAACGTTTTGGCTACTGGACAGTGGCGGTCCTGTGATGAGCTGGTTTGCGGAGATCGTGTTTTAGGTGGTACACATCGAACTGCTGCAGGTGTTTATACAGGTGTGGTCATTGACTATGGCTTGTGCACTCCTCGGTTAATTATTACTGGTAGGGAGCAACATCTTGGCGTGGCTGACCATGACGCGGTGGTTTACAACTTGCATGTGCCTGGTTCATTATCCACACCGTGGACTCTCCCAGTTGGTGCCCCTTTGCATTCTGAAAAGGTTGCTGAAGCTTCTTGGCTAAGTGCTTGGGAAGAAGTATGTGACGATTTTGGAAATGCATTGAGTACAGGCAACGTGGACTCTGCTTGGACCTTACTTAGCAACTGCGCAGAATCTCTTCTTCTCGCACGTGGCAAAACTGGTCGTGCTATGCGCCAGGGCCCGCAGCAAATTGCCAGTCCTCCGTCTTCAAAAGCGCCTTCTTTGCAAACAGTGAAAGAGCGCAAGCTCAGACGCTTCGCACGAAGAGTGGTGGAGTACCAAAAGGCCCCGTTGCCAGAGTTGGAGAAGAAGTTGGTTCGTGATGGCCCTCATTTACATCATTCTTTGGCTTTTTTCTCTTTGGATGACCCCAGGTTGGTTAGTGCAGTGCTAGAATTGGCAAATGCAGAAGCTACAGCAGCGTCCAAGTTACGCTTGGAGGCGTGGAAGGACAGCGTGCAGGAAAATGCCACCAAACTAGGCAGGTGGGTCAAACAGGTGCCGCCCGCCAGTCCTACTGCAAGTTTTGATGGCCCCATTCTACCTGCAGATAGGGCCAAGTGCGCAGCATTGGATTGGGAGAGGTATTGGAATCCAGGGTCGCTTCCGAATTTGAATCTGGGGGACCAGTTGTACTCTCAGATTGGCTCTGCAAGCGATCCATTGCCGGATGACTGTATTCAGGTTAGTGGTTCTGAATTGGTTCGGATTGCGCTCAAAGCGAAGGACAAGGCTCCGGGCATGGATGCCTGGACAGCTCTCCATTTGTGCAATCTTCCCATTGCTTTTTGGGATCAGGTCGGTGCTCTTTGGGATGCTTGCTTGCGACATGGCTGTGTTCCTGCGATGTGGAAAGATGTTAGAATTGCTTTGTTACCAAAAGCTACTGGTGGCATGCGCCCTTTAGCCATTGTCACTGTCCTGTGGCGTATTTGCATGAGTGCCACTCTGAAAAAATTACAGCCTTGGATTGCGGAATGGGCTTCGCCCGAACTTTTTGGTGGTCTACCAGGCAAGGGCATCATGGAAGTCCATGAACGTTTCTACGAAGCTGTCAGCGCGGCAAAGCAGTCTCGTGTCGATTTGGTCGGGTGCAAAGCTGATGTTCGCAAGTGTTTTGATTCAGTTTGCCCTCAGACAGCCATTAAAGTGTGGCGATGGTTCGGTGCTCCCTCATCAATTTGTGATTTACTCGCTGATTTTTACAGTGAACAGCGTCGTTGGTTTGCTTGGCAAGGTTCTTATCACCCTCATCCGGTTATTGCTCAACGGGGTTTGTTGCAAGGCTGTCCAGCCAGCCCTGCGCTACTGAACGCTTTGATGACCGTTTGGGTGAGGTTTGTCAAACGGCAGGAACCAAGGATTTCTTTGGCTATTTATTTGGACGATCGCACCATGTGGAAACAAGGTTGTCAAAGTTTTGAAGTGGTCATCAACGCCATGACTGCGGGAGCGCAAGCCGATGCTATTCTCGGCTTCGAACTTCACCCTGACAAATTGGCTAGCTTCGCCACCAAACCGCATCTGGTTGCCAAGGTGCGCAAGAAGAAAGATTTAGTAGGTGTACCTGCGGATACTTTCACACTGCTTGGCATTCAATACAATTTGTCACGCCCCAGTTCTTGTGTTGATGCGGATATTGTCAGTGACAACATTCAGCGACGGTGTCTCAAAATTCGTTTGGCAGCACAGCACTTAGGCACTCGCATTGCATTGGTGCATAAGTTGGTGATATCTTTATTTGCTTGGTCCGGTGCTTTTCATCACTTCAGTGCAAGAACCATTCGAACATGGACATCTATGATCGAAACTGCACTTTGGGGTCGAAGGGCTCCTCCAGGTAGGAGCCGGCTGCTCTTTTGGAATTCTTTGGGTTCTGCAAGACTACATCCGATGTTTGCGCTCCAGTTCACCGCCGCCCGGGCGGAATGGAATCGGCAATGCCGCCGTGCCCAAGGGTTGCCTGCAGCTACCTCGCCTGCTCCTCGCTGGAAAGCAGTGCTCAAAGATTGGAAATGGCGACTTGACGATGGCCTGTGGCACACGCCTGCTGGGATTTTGAAACCTGGGTGGATGTCTTTGAAAAGCTTGCAAAAGGCCGCTATCCATTCATGGCTCGTTGGTTTGTGGACTAAAGACACCAAAACGGATGGTCGATGGCCAAACGGCAAGGAGCCGGTTTTCCTTTTTCAGGCAAATGCAGCTTTAGGCATGGATTACTACAGTCGCAGGGTTTTGACTGGTGCTGCAGTGGATGGCAGGGTCACAGAGCGCTTTGGTTCTGCTTTGAGTTGTGAATGTGGATTGCGGTCTCCTGATCGAGAACATCTCACTTTTCACTGCCAAGCGCAGCCATGGGATGGTGAGTTCAGGAGCGCTACTGAACGTCGTTTGCTGGTTCCACTTGTGGATGCTCCTCCTGTGTTGCCTTTTTCCAACATGGTTGCAGATCCTGCTTTGGTTACTTTTATTCAGCAATTCGATCCTCTTCAGCGACCCACCTTGGGTTTGGACGGCAGTTGTATCATAGCTACTTCCTGTGATCGATGGCAAAGAGCTAGCTGGGCGGTTTCGACACTTTCAGGCACCACTGTTCAAGGTGCCGTGACTGGTTTTGAGCAAACACCTGCTGCAGGTGAGCGTGCTGCTCTTCTGCAAGCTTGTTTAGCCTCTTCTGCAGCTAACAGACCGGTGATGCTCTTGATTGACAATCAGGCTTTGGTGCGGCGGCTTCAGCGAGGCATTAGCACTGGCCGTTGGGAGGGTGACTTGCCGCTTTTCTGGCAGCGGATCAGCGGCTTATTGATTCAGGGCACTGTTTGCACTTGGATCCCTTCTCACAACAAGGTGCCTGACTGGACACCACCAGATGGTTGGATTGATGTTCATCTCTGCCGCGTTCTCAATGCGACAGCCGATGCTCAGGCAGGTGAGGTGTTGCGTGACTCACGCTCCATGATCGCTGCGGCTGTGCAGCGACATCAGCGAGCCGTGGCTTGGGCTGCAGCAGTTTGGCGTCTGCAGAGGCTACGGACTTTACCTTTTTGGCAAGTCGTACTTGATCAACAAACATTCCATGCGGAATGCTAGCTGGCGCACTGTGTTTACTTCTTTTTTATTTCAGGCAGGTTTCGCTTCTTTTGAGTTTTGCTTGGAGAAGTATGGGAACTTGATTCTCGCAGATGGCATACTATGGCGTCTTAACTACTTCACTTCGGTGAGGAGCAGGTTGACGTCCGCTTACAACAACAACAAGAACGCCTTTCGAAAGGATTTGGTGCTGCTTCGAGGAAGCCATTGCCCCAGCCTTAGAAATTCCTAGAAATGCGAGACAGCATCATAGAACGAGAAACATGTGACATGAACGTGAGTTTTTTTTCCTTCGTGAGTTCTGCTTGAAGGGACACGTTTTGAGTCCAGCTAGCAGCTAGCTTGTTTCAGTGCAAAATGCAAAACACAACCAAACAGCATGATCGCTTGGTTGATTTGCATACATGTGAATGGGGGATAACGAGCAGGAGCAACACCAGGTCATGTTCGTAAAGGCACACAATGCTTCAGTAGATAGTGGATCGAAGGAGACACTGGTGTAGACAATTCCGGTATTTTCACCCCAAAAGCGACCAAGGCGATCGAACATCGAGAGGGCAACTGGTCCAGACGACGTTTACTGCTTGATGTGGGAGCCACTGACGCATTTGACAAAGCTACTCGACACAGACGGGGTGGCCTTGTGTGGACATTTCCTTTGCGTGGTCTGCTCGAAAGGTTGAGACCATCGCCTTTACCGTAACCCCCATTTCTGCACCATGGTGAACCGTTTCACATCACCTTACTGTAAGCCTGCATTTCCAAAGAGGTGATAAGTATTGATAAGTGATAAGTGATGTTTTGACCGTTCCAAATTTGTTGATCTCTGAGGCTCATGTGCTTACTGATGGACTTGCTGGAGCAGAAAGTCGAATGATTGGCATCATCGGCTTGCACCATAAAGCAGCTCGTGAGCGTCACTTTCCTCTTGGCCTTTTGGAAAAGGGCTTGAAGGTCAAAATCGAAGAAGCTTGGTGCGGGATTGAAAGAAACCTCTACTGTTTTGACGTTGTTTGGAGAACCATTTTATGCATTTGGACGATCGTTTGAATGGACAAGGTCCATGGTCCATTGTTCCATTTGCATTTTATGTATATTATGTTATGTTACATTAAATATATTGGCTCATTCCAAGTTCTCTCTTTTTCCAGAAGGTGTCCGAGCCATAATTGTGAGTTTGAATGCATGTTGGACAGCTCAAGGAAGCTCATGCCACGCAGAACATCGACAAAGTTCGTATACTGAACAGCATAGCTCTTTCTCGTCTTGGAACTTGTGACTTTGAGCTTTTGCAGTCGTACCCCGCTGGGGATCCGAATTTCCAGCGAGTGGATGAAGCTCTTGCTTCGCACTTCGCCTTATCCAGCTGGTACGGCTTTGTCCTTCAAGGGAGATGCACTGAACTCCTGGCCAGGGCTGTAAAGGCAGATGTTGGTAGAAAGATAGTGCAGCTTTCAGTGACTGGGTGCCAGAATTTTTCTGACCATGAGCTTGACGTGATGATCCAAAGCCTTCCTGCAGAGTTGCGCGTTTTGCGATTAGATCTGGGATTCTCGGGTCTTGAGACTCTGGACATGTTCACATCGACGGTGCAGTGTTTGAAATCTTTGGTCCAGTTGAAGTTGCGCTTCACAGGTTCCTCGCACTTCAGGACTGCGGCAGGGCTTGGAGTTGCCCTGAGAGAGATGGAGAGCCTCATGTACTTGGAGCTATGGTGCGCTGAGTTGTGAATTTCCAGTCGCATTTTTCTTCATCTTGAACCAGAAAAAAATATGATTTTCAGCTTATTGTTTGCTGCGCTTTCTTTTTGATTCCATGGACATGGTATTGTTATTTTCATTTTTCTCAGCTGCCACGGTCCAGTGGCTGCAGGTTCATGAACTTGCCATGTTTGGAAGAATTCGGATGCTTCAGTTCTGCTTTGCAGTCTTCGCGAAACCTGGAGAGTATAGTTATTGATCTCAGCGGATGTGGCCAGGTGTCGATTGATGCGAGGATGGAACTTCACCAATCCATCAAGTCACTGAAATGGTTGCGAGGCGGCTTGGACACGTGGGTGAATATTGAAGGTTTGCCAAAGCGACGCTGGTTCCCTGGATTTGCTCATGTTGACTTTGGCGGTGTCATCAAAGGGCGTTGGACCCGGAGCTTCCGTTTCATCTGGCAACGGATGCGACAACTCAGCGCCCGCCAGCTGCCACACGTCAGCTCAGTGTACTTTGAGCCAACCAGGTTTGGCAGGTCCAGCGCCACAAGCAGTGATGAATCAGCTGGAGAAGATGCAGAGACAGAGACTCACAGTGCTCAACAGGAGATGTTTGATGAAGGCAAACCGTTCCCATGCAGCCATCCTTCGTGTCAGTCTTTTCACTCTTCTGAGAGCGGCTATTGTGATAGGCACCGCTGGTCAGGCCTTTTCAAGAGGATGTGTGTTGTAGGAAATGCTTGGCGCCAGAATGTGGAGCTTAGTGTGCTGATTCTTGCACAAGCAGTGGCAGAGGTAGAGAGCCGATTTCTGTTGGTTCTGCTGGTTCTCAGCCTGTTGCCTGTGGCAAGTTATGCCTTTTCTCAGTCAACAGGAGTGTCTGGCACGTTGATTTTTCTGATTGTTATCTCAATTGCAATTGTCAGCATTGTTTACACCACAGCTCGGCTCAACAGAATGCACACACTGTCAAGGAAGCTTGAAGTTGAATCGGAAGCTTTGTATGCAAAGAATTTGCAGAATGACATGTCCCGGCTTTTTGGTGATTGGGGTAGAGACGATATTGCCCAGCCTCAAGTCACAAGCTTGACGGAACACTTCGTCGAAGCCAGAAAGCATTTTGATGACTTCGACAAGAATCTGTGCCTCCCACTGCGAGAGTTCTTGGAGGAGCAGCCTGGTTCCATATCTCGGCAAGCTTTGCGGCCCGTACTGATGACAGTGCCAGTGGCACAAGAGGCTGTTGTGCGAGAAGGTGAACCCAGTCGAATCCTAGATCTCTTGTATTGCGATGTAATCTTCGATGATTGGGAAAGAATGCTCAGTGCGTGGTGCTTTCTCAAAACCAGAGCAGAGCATGATGAGTTGAGAGAAATCAAGATCGTGCGTACTCGCGATTCTTTTGCTTCAGTCCAAGCTGGTGTCAGATGTGCCGAGATGGTGGTCAAGATCGGCCACTATTTAGCAACGATCCGTTTCCGTGAAGCCTCTTTGACAAAGCTGGAGAATCAAGTGGACGATGTGCACCACTTGGCAGGACAGGTGGGACTTGTGGCGGGCAGTTTGCAGGTAGATCCTTTGCTTATGTCTGGGCGACCAGCACAGCAATCACGATTGGTGGTCGGTGTTGTTGCTTTGCTTCGGATCAGCTCATTACTTGCAGCAACGTACCTTGGGGGGCAATACTTTGTGCGGTACAGTCCACCTTTCATCCGTTGCAAGCTTCCACAATTGATCCGAGATGCATTTGCTCTCAAGCAGACAGTTGAGCCCAGTGATGGGAGATTGCCGGAGGCTGTCGCTGCTGATTCTGGATGGTTGGGGGAGAGCCTTTCGCAGCTGTTGCCTTCCATTGTTTTCTCTTTGCCATACCTGGCCTTGATCATCGTCCTCTTGAGCGACTTGCGCCGGTGTCGGTCAGCCAATATCAAGTTGAGACCGTTGAAGCCCACCCAGTTCCTCTACGAGGAGTATTTTGGCATTGAAGGCAAGCTCTACGGCTTCAAAGTTGCAATGCTGCAGTTATTCACAGTGATGCTGCAGGCCTTTGGAAAGCTCCAAATTATGGGTGGCCTTGTGTCATTTGCATTCAATTCAGCTCCGAAGCATTCAGATGCATTCGAACAATGTTTTTGGGCTTTTGTGGGTTTCCTATGTCTGAACAGCATCTATCCAACCATTTTGTTGGGTTTGCCCTCTGTGAAGTGGGTGCGCCGTGGCGCTGCGATGATGGATGCGGTTCTTGATATCACTTTGCTGGCCATCTACGAACTACAGCTGGACCAAGCCATTCGAGGAAATTTCGGGGATGAGGCTTCGGTCAACTTCGAAGCAGAATTGGACCCAGCATTTGCATTCCCATCTGATTTTCTGGGTTTCTTTGCTGTCTACTATTCACTTGCGCATGTTTGCACCGTGTGCCGTGCCTTGGAGCGGAGCGATCGATTGACTTTCTGGAAGAAGGTGCAAAGCTTGCAGAATTCTGCTTCCCGGTCACTGCTGATGCCATGGAGATTTTCTTTCTCCAAGAGATGCAGGATATTCTGCAAAGCATTGCATTTTGCTTGCATTGGTTTCCTTTTAGGTTGTGTCAACATTTCCAAACCATGGTGGTTATGTAACCTGTTGTCATTGTATTTACATGTTGAGTCAACATGTTGGTGCAGAGAGGCGTGTTTTTTTTTCAGCTTTATTTACGCTGAACATGCTGAACTGACTTGTTTTGGGACTGATTCAGAATGTGCCATGGGACTAAACCAGTTTGGTTTCTCGCAGGTTCCAGGGTTCTCAGTTTGGAAACCAAAGTTGCACGTTTAAGGTTACCAGAAGTGCCAGCATTCCAAGGTTCCAGAATTCTGAGGTATCAGAAGTCACCCAGTATTGTCAGCCATGAATTGCCTTGCCCAGTATTGTCCACTTAAACACTGTTTTTAATTTGAAAAATCTGGCTTCGGGCGGTGTTCCCCGCATTAACATTTTGGATACCCTTTGAGACCTGGTTTATGTTTCGTCATGAGCCTTTGCCATTCTGTAGTGGCCAGCTATTTCATCGCATCGGCCTGTGATAGATTAAGTTATTTGCCTTCTTTGTTTCTCCTGGCGCTGCTAAGGTATTCGCCCTGTTTGCTTGTCACGATCATTGCTCTATTGCTTTCAACGCACTTCTACCCGATTCACAAGGATGATTTCGGATGCTTTCCGTGTCGCTGTCAGGAAAAGGACTATGGTGCAAAGCACCTCGCGAACTGCCACCTTGTAGGCATTCTTCGCCTCAAAGATGTGAGTTTGAGTGAGCAGGACATCACAAGTATTGCGGAAGATGCCTTCGCTTCTTCAAGGTGTTTGCAACGATTGTCGCTCTCTGCCATTCGGTTGTCTTTTTTTACCTGAGAGGGTGTTCGCCCCTTTGGACCGCTTGCAACTGCTGGACTTGGGCGGTTTGGGTTTGCAACAGGTGGAGTCAGACACGTTCACGGGCTTGTCAAACTTGAGAATCTTGTCGCTCAGTCAAAATGGTTTGAAGGAGCTGCCAGAAGGCTTGCTGCGCCCCATGCCAGCTCTGGAGCAATTGTTGCTGGTGGGTAAATCTGATGAGAGGGGCTTTCGCATCGTTGATGGAAACGAGCTGAGTGTGCTGTCACAAGAGCTTCTGCAACACACCCCGCGGCTACAAGTTCTCGATCTGAGCGAAAACAGGTTGAGCTCGCTGCCAAATGGCATCTTTGATAAGACTCCTTTGTTGCGGACCCTCGACCTTGGTTCAAACAAGCTGGCTGAATTGCCAGGCAAAATCTTTTCAGGGCTCAGCAAGTTGCAGAAGCTGGACCTGAGAAATAACAAACTCAGCGAGTTGCCTGCTGAAGTCTGGGCCAATCTCAGCAACTTGCAGATTCTCAACCTCGTGTCCAACAAACTGAGTGAGTTACCTGCTGAAGTCTTCTCAGGGCTCAGCAGCTTGGAGGAGCTTGTCTTGGCTTACAACAAGCTCCGTGCGTTGCCCGCTGAAGTGTTTGCAGGGCTCAGCAAATTGCAGAAGCTGTACTTGAGCCTAAACGCTCTCAGCGAGTTGCCTGCTAATGTCTTTTCAGGACTCAGCAACTTGCAGAAGCTCCGGCTGAAGCGTAACAGTCTCAGCTCGCTACCTGCTGGAGTCTTTTCAGGACTCAGTAACTTGCAGGAGCTTGACCTGTGGTCGAACTTGCTCAGTGAGTTGCCTGCTGAAGTCTGGGCCAATCTTTTTGCAGGGCTCAGCAACTTGCAACATCTCAATCTGGGTGCCAACAAACTGAGCAAGCTGCCTTCTAAAGTCTGGTCCAAATCGTTTGCAGGGCTTGGTAAATTGCAGAAGTTGTACTTGAGCCAAAACGATCTCAGCGAGTTGCCTGCTAACGTCTTTTCAGGGCTCAGCAAGTTGCGAGAGCTTTACTTGTATGAAAACGAGCTCAGTGTGCTGCCTGCTGAAGTCTTTTCTGAGCTTGGCAACCTGCAAGAGCTTTATCTCTTTGGGAACAAGTTGAATGAATTGCCTCCTGAAGCCTTTGCCAACCTGTTTGCAGAGCTCAGTAACCTGCAGGTGCTTGACCTGCGTTACAACAATCTCAGTGTGTTGCCTTCTCAAGGCTTTGCAGGGCTCAGAAACCTGCAGGTGCTCAACTTGGGAAAGATGGAAAACAACACGGGCGTAGACCCAGTCTTTGCTACGGATCTTATGCTTGTCCAATTCGTCGGAAACAACACAAACCAGATCAGCGAGTTGCCCGCTGAGTTCTTTTCCGGGCTTGGCAACCTGCAGAAGGTTTACCTTGATTCAAACAAACTGACCCAATTGCCTACGAACATCTTTTCAAGCCTCAGCAGCTTGCAGATTCTCGACCTGAGTAGTAACGATCTCACTCACCTGCGTGCTGAAGCCTTTTCAGGGCTCAACAACTTGCAGAAGCTCCACCTGAATGGCAACAAACTCACTGAGTTGCCTGCTGAAGTCTTCTCAGGACTCAGCAGCTTGCAGAAGCTACACTTGTACGGAAACGATCTCAAGGAGTTGCCCGCAATTTGTTCAAGTATCGACTGCCTAAATCCCTGAGATATCCGGCTTAGATCGGCTTAGAGGATGTCCTTTCTGTTCGAAAATGGGTCAAGCTGCCTGGGGATCAGGTTGTAGTCGCGCTCTTTCCACCAGGCTGGGGTTTCTGTTGACGACTCTGAGGTCCCGGAGCCGGTCTGCAAGCACCGAGGCCGAAACCGGGAGCACTTGAAGTATGTTCAAAGTCAGCAAAGGAATCAGGGTTTAATGATAGTTTAATGGTTTTATCCAGGTTTTATCATGTTTTATCATGTGTTTTATCAAGGTTTCTGTCCTCGCCTGGTGATTTTTTGGAGTTTGGACTCGATTGCTGAGGCTGCTGTGGGATGAGATGGGATGTCTTGCTGTTTTTTTGGCTGGCAACTACCTGAAAACTCTTTGTAAGGTTCAATGTATGGCCCTCCGGCAAGAAAACCATTAGGTCTGTCGGGAGCGGAACAGAAATTGTTTGTTTTGAACCTGGAAGGAAGCTGCTGAGAGAGGTGTAACCCGGTGTAACAAAGTTTCCTTCTGGCCAAACACAAGTCCCGACTCAACACCTTCCAGGTTATTTCAGGTTTTTTAAAAGATGAAAGGCGTCCCCTGTCACTGATTCTTGGAATTTCTGTTCCCTTGACCGAAACGTGTCTTTCTGCTGTTCGTGTCCAGCGGTGTTTCGAGTTCTCCGTGGCAAGACACACCTGCTGCTCAGGCCTCGACAGTCAGCGACCAGGCGCCGGAAAAAGACTTTGGGCGCTGGGCGTCGGGGCAATTTTCTGATTATTTTTTCGTGTTTCACACACTGAACCAACACCGCTTGAATCCAGAACATCAAAACTACCCTCTGGTAAACAAACATAGCTATCGAAAATGGCCATAGAAATAGTGGATTTACCCATACAAAATGCTGATTTTCCATAGCTATATGTTAGTTTACCAGATGGTAAAGTGACACACGACCGATGGTTTGTTCGTGGCTTGGTGGGCGCACTTGCAGCACGGTGGCATAGTGGCGGTCACAATATCGATATCATCAGCATGCCGTTTTATAAAGACCATGGGCCGCCCGCGACATGACATATGATCCACATCTTCGGCCATCAACAGGAACAACTGTGAAAATCGATCTCGCAATTGATCCACCTAATCACAAAGTATAGAACATTGCGAAAGGAAATATTGTAGGGAGGCATTGCGGATTTTTTTCCGTTGGATCGTTTAGTAGAGAAGGGCCGTATGTGAGCCGTGAGTTTGGGTGGGCCTATAGCTTTGCACTATAAAAGCCCTACGGGTGATCATAGCACGGAATGCGAATACTTGGGGTTCCGATATTTTGATCATTGGCAGCGCACCCAAGAATCAATGCTCGGGGATACTGCCTTCCATATCAATTGATATCATATCAATCATTGATATTCATAAATCAATGATACATATAAATTAAATTTAATAGATAGATATACATCATATTGTCTGGTTGAACTCACCCTGATTCAGCGCAGTCCTTCTTAAAATTGCCTTGGGTTGTTACGCAGTTCATGACCTGGGCACCTGGGTGCGGGTTCTCCACGTGGCGGGGAGACGATGCCAGGCCTGAGAGACGATGCGCGTCGTAATGAGGACATGACCAGGGGGTGAGCTGACACGAGTTGACATGAGTTGATTTTTATATCATCATGAATCATCATGAATCATGAAAACAGTCAGATTGTGATGGATTGTGGCTTTTCAGTGGCAGCATATGTTGTAAACATCTAGAAGATTCATTGATCTTTTAATGCCATTTTATCCTACTGTATACGGTATGCTCGAGTGAGTGTGGAAAGGCCAGCTGTAGGAACTAAGGCAAAACGCTTTGCACTTTCCGTTGAATAGATATTTTCCAAGTTGTAGGGATCTCTGAATTTGTCAAAACATGCCGGAAATTTCAGCTCCACGTCCTCAGATGGTTCGCTACGAGGCGAACCGTGGAGCTGCCACGTTGCACAGCGAGGCAGGAAGTGGAGCTGGAGCCGATCGATTCATATCTGGCGTCAAGGGAGAAGTTTCCGCGGAGGTTTTCGGATTTCCGTTGTGTTTTTTTTAACAAATTTGAGGCTTTCAAATATGTTGAATAACAAGTGATTGGAATCTGTTTTGTCTCAGAAAAGTGGAGTTGGGTCCGGCGGGTCCACCTAGTGCCTGAAATGTTGATCCTAGCAGGTGGCACTTCCAACATGTACCCGGTAGGTCCTCCAATTTTGGTGATCGGAGATCCTGCTTTTACAGTTGATGTTCCTGTACTGAAAAATTGGGTTTTCATTGCCAAGTTTGATTGGAGGGCAAAGAAGTTCAAAGTTCATCAAAGTTCACCTTTTAACCTTTTCACAGTTTGGTTTGAGTCGTGACACCACTTGTCCGTTGCCCCCACTTGGCATTGCAACCTTGTCCGGTACCACCCGGCAGCATGGACATTCGGTGCATCTTGCCACCATGATGAATGCCAGCTGAGGACGCCACCTCGTCGTCGCACTATGTTGGAACAGAGTTGAGGATCCTTCAGGGTTCGGCAAAACAAAGTTGATCCACGATATGCATTAGGCTTGATTGGGCTTGATTAGGCTTGATTAGGCTTGACAGCTGCAGGACTTCCCTGCAGAGGTCCTGGAAGAGCTCGGAAACCAAGCGTTGAAGAGACGTGTGGGTCATGTTTACTGTGTTGGTTCTTTTGGTTCTTTTGGTTCTTTTGGTTCTTTTGGTTCTTTTGGAGGTGTTGCAGATTGTCTCCGCTCTCAAGACGGACCTGTATCACAGCATTCGGTGACACTCACCTCGACATGAAACGGCCAGCCAAGTACATTGAGAACAAAGCAGCCAAATCTCATGTTGCGTAAGAGAAAGTATTTGATAAACCACGGACAAATCTGTGTATTGTTACAGACTGCACTGAATTCGTGCCACTGGACAGCGCAAAGGACTCGCTGCCTCATGTCGGTTTCTGTGGATATTCCTGGACATGGTCACTTTGATATCAAACTGACTGCTTCGAGCACCGCTGCTGACATTATTTTACTGCTACGTGAGCGTTTGCCAGACAGCCCATGGCATGGGAACAAGTTGCTGTCAAGTGGGGTCTGCCAGCTACAACGCGATGACGTTGTGGAGGCAACCCGCCACAGCACATTAGTCTTGACAAACTACTCAGAGATCACCAACCAGGAGAGAAACCTGCAGCTTTGTTTCTTTTTCAATAGGTAATGCAGACCATGCCAAGTAGCAAATCACGATTAGAAACTAAATGCCAACAAGTACCAATTGCGACAAGTGCAGCAGTGTTTTGGACCGATTCAATTTCGAACTGGTGGCTTGTGAGATCTACTTGATAGTGGGGGAACAGTCGGCCACTGAACAGGCGCCTTTGTGCATTGAGACCATGTGAAACAAAGGCAATATAACCAATAGGATCAAATCGAATAAAGAGAAACCGTATTTAAAAGTCAACCGTTTGAAATTCAGAGATTGCAGGCCCATGATTCCCATGATTGCACCTTTTGAGGGTACTGCACAATGCTTTTTGAATTCCATTCCAATTTCATTTGCTGCATTTGTTGGTGGACCTGTCGAAGGAGGCTTTCTGCATCGAAGATACTGCAGAGCGAGGGATCACTCGCGAACAATTGGCAAAGATTGTTGTTTTCATCTCCAAGATGGCTGACAGATGGTGCGAAACGTTCGGAGAACAGCGTGGGACAAGGCTGCAGTTTGAGACCTTCAACTTGTATCAAGCGAATCATTGGATCATCAAACCAGCCACCGAAGCCTGGATTTGTTGATGATGTGACAACATTTTCCAATTTGAAGAATCTACCGTTTTTCTTTTTTTAATTGGCAACATTATGCAGAATCCCAGGACGGCTATGCGAAAAAGGGCTGCAGCATGGTAGAGCTCATGGCGATTCAAGTGCAGAGACCTCACTGGTTTGTGTCACATGCTTGGATCGAGCCTTGGATAGGCAAACCCTCAAGGTTGTTTGAGATCGTGTTATTGCATTGTCTGTCAGCAACAAGTTACTTTTTCCGCTAATAATTCACATTCCCCTAGAAGCCTTGGTTGAGTTTTGGACTTGTTCATTTCGGACCCTCAATAGGATGCTGTATCAAAAAGAAATGAACATCCAGCGTAATGATAGATGAAAGTCAATCTATTGCTTTGAAGCACGTCCAATTTTGTGTTGGGCAGATCTGTGAGGAGCCTGTTTGTAAGTTTCTGGCCTGCTTGGAGCAGCATGCTCTGGTGCGAGAACTCTCAAGCAGTACATTCTATTGGGTCTGTGCATATGCCAACAACCAGCACTGCGTGGAAGAGGATATCAAAACCAACCCACGCAGCACTTCATTCTACAGAGCTATGCAGATGTCTGAGGGAGTTCTTTTGGTGCTGGATTCAGCTCCGGCCAAGCGTGTTGCGGGGGAACCCAAGCCCCCTCACAATATGAAGGTGAAAAGCATCCCTGCTGACGGCAACTGTCTTTTTGAAGCCCTTGCTCAAAGTTTGGGCGGAAAAACAGCCAGGAATGTGCGTGCAAGCGTTGTCACCCACCTGACCAAGCACCAGGGTCGTTACAAGCCCTGGTGGGACGGCAAGGAGCCAACAGAGGCGGAGAATGCTTGCGAATCATGGGAGAGCTATCTCACCATGCTCTCAAAGATTGGTGCTTGGGGCAGTGCTCTTGAAGTTTCTGCTGCGGCTGTGCACTACGATCGCCCGATCATTGTCTTCCAGCCTCGTGGGGTTCCGGAGATTTACAATGGTCGTGGCAAGGGTGGTGCTCCCATCGCTTTGTGGTTTCGTTCAAAGCACTATGAACGACTTGAAGGTGCTTTCCCTCCTGAAGTTTTGACTCAGGCCGCAAATGGTCCAATGCAGGGCAACAGAGGTGGAGGATCGGAATGTGGCGCTACTTCAGTTGGTGCCACCAGATTGTCAGCTTTGCCGTCACTGGTTCATAGCAACAATAAACGTGGAAGGTGTGCTAGCCCCGCGCCCGCCTCTACTTTGTCAGAGCAGCGCAAGAATTCTTCTTCCCCTGCGGCTGCTACTTCGGGTCGGGGTCCGTGCACGCCACGTGCAGCCAGTGAAGGACAAGACGCAGCCAGTGCTTCGTCCAGACGCACTAAGCGTACTGAGTGGACATGCCCTTTGTGTGACTTTTCCACTGGGGTGTGCAAAGGATGGGTTGACAAGAAGAGAGCTCATATCAATGCTTGGCATCCCGATGAGAAGGAACAGTTGAAAATCGGCTTCAAAAACACTTTGCCTGCGCTGTCTGCAGTCAAGAAGGGAGGAGTCTATAGCTGGAAGTGTCCTGTTTGCAAACTTGGCTTGTCCGCTGATCACAACCTCAAACCTGGCCAAGTGTACAGCGTCATCCGCAAGCATAGGGAAGACAAACATCCTCAGGCGGATGCCAAGCTCTTCCACAAGGACAGCAGCTTCAGACGGGAGAATGCTAGCAAAGCCACGCGCCAGGTGCGTGCAGCTGCAGTGGCTCGAAGGTTGCTTGGCTTCAAGCGTGGCGATGCTGGAGCACATGACCCCACTTTCGTTACCATTCCAGCCACAGGAAATGGCAAACAGAAAAGAGTTGGAATGTCTTACGTCATTTGCAAAACTTGTGGCAGTATGGCTTTGACAGCGAAGCGTTTGGCAAAGATTGCTTGTGAACAGTATGCTTCCAGCAAAGGGCCCAAACGACAGCAGTTGGTGGAAAGATTGCGTGCGTGCCTCAAAAATGCAGACATCAGCGATGACCTCAAGAAGGGTGCCCGCACAGTTTTGGAAATCATCGACTCTGGAGCAGTTCGCACCACTGATACTGCAGCAGACAGCACGCATCAGATTGAGGCCATTGTGTGGCCTGCCAATTTTACGGTGCGTTTTGCTTGTGTGCATTGCAAGCGTTGTGTCAACAACATCAGACGGCTTACAGGAAGTCAGTGTCCTCGTAAAATGGTTTGGACTAAGTTTCGAAAGGGCCAAAGGGATATTTTGGTGCCTCTTGCGGCTCAGGCTCCAAGTGCCAGACAGCGAGCTGCTTCGCGAGCTTTGGACATTTTGGGATTGCAGCAGGATGGCGCTGTGGATCAGAACCCATGACGGGCTCTGACAGCACTATGCGGTTGGGGACTATGAATGTACGGTCCTTGGGAGGCCGCTTGGGTGGTGTGCTTGACTTTGCTCAGCTCCAGAATTTACATGTTCTGTGTCTTCAAGAAACTAGAGTTAACAATCACAGCTGGAATGCTGTGACTCGTGCCGTCAAGGCACGCGGGTGGCAACTTTTTCCTGGCCCTCAAGGAAGAAATTCGAAAAATGTAGTGGAAGGTGGTACATTGGTTCTAACAAAGTGGCCTGCTGAGGCCTTGGCCCTTCCTGTCGACATGGTGTCTGTGGAAAGATCCATGGCCGTCAAACTCTATAGACCTCAGCAAAGGCCGTTGATTCTCATCAATGTTTACTTACATGCTTCAGATCGCACAGCTGCCAGCCGTGCGCTGGGTGCGCTGTTCGAGTTTGTTGCTGCTTGTGGTGAAGATACAGTGATCATGGGTGACTTCAATTTGGAAATTCATTGTTGGCCAATTTCTAACGTTTTGGCTACTGGACAGTGGCGGTCCTGTGATGAGCTGGTTTGCGGAGATCGTGTTTTAGGTGGTACACATCGAACTGCTGCAGGTGTTTATACAGGTGTGGTCATTGACTATGGCTTGTGCACTCCTCGGTTAATTATTACTGGTAGGGAGCAACATCTTGGCGTGGCTGACCATGACGCGGTGGTTTACAACTTGCATGTGCCTGGTTCATTATCCACACCGTGGACTCTCCCAGTTGGTGCCCCTTTGCATTCTGAAAAGGTCGCTGAAGCTTCTTGGCTAAGTGCTTGGGAAGAAGTATGTGACGATTTTGGAATGCATTGAGTACAGGCAACGTGGACTCTGCTTGGACCTTACTTAGCAACTGCGCAGAATCTCTTCTTCTCGCACGTGGCAAAACTGGTCGTGCTATGCGCCAGGGCCCGCAGCAAATTGCCAGTCCTCCGTCTTCAAAAGCGCCTTCTTTGCAAACAGTGAAAGAGCGCAAGCTCAGACGCTTCGCACGAAGAGTGGTGGAGTACCAAAAGGCCCCGTTGCCAGAGTTGGAGAAGAAGTTGGTTCGTGATGGCCCTCATTTACATCATTCTTTGGCTTTTTTCTCTTTGGATGACCCCAGGTTGGTTAGTGCAGTGCTAGAATTGGCAAATGCAGAAGCTACAGCAGCGTCCAAGTTACGCTTGGAGGCGTGGAAGGACAGCGTGCAGGAAAATGCCACCAAACTAGGCAGGTGGGTCAAACAGGTGCCGCCCGCCAGTCCTACTGCAAGTTTTGATGGCCCCATTCTACCTGCAGATAGGGCCAAGTGCGCAGCATTGGATTGGGAGAGGTACTGGAATCCAGGGTCGCTTCCGAATTTGAATCTGGGGGACCAGTTGTACTCTCAGATTGGCTCTGCAAGCGATCCATTGCCGGATGACTGTATTCAGGTTAGTGGTTCTGAATTGGTTCGGATTGCGCTCAAAGCGAAGGACAAGGCTCCGGGCATGGATGCCTGGACAGCTCTCCATTTGTGCAATCTTCCCATTGCTTTTTGGGATCAGGTCGGTGCTCTTTGGGATGCTTGCTTGCGACATGGCTGTGTTCCTGCGATGTGGAAAGATGTTAGAATTGCTTTGTTACCAAAAGCTACTGGTGGCATGCGCCCTTTAGCCATTGTCACTGTCCTGTGGCGTATTTGCATGAGTGCCACTCCGAAAAAATTACAGCCTTGGATTGCTGAATGGGCTTCGCCCGAACTTTTTGGTGGTCTACCAGGCAAGGGCATCATGGAAGTCCATGAACGTTTCTACGAAGCTGTCAGCACGGCAAAGCAGTCTCGTGTCGATTTGGTCGGGTGCAAAGCTGATGTTCGCAAGTGTTTTGATTCAGTTTGCCCTCAGACAGCCATTAAAGTGTGGCGATGGTTCGGTGCTCCCTCATCAATTTGTGATTTACTCGCTGATTTTTACAGTGAACAGCGTCGTTGGTTTGCTTGGCAAGGTTCTTATCACCCTCATCCGGTTTTTGCTCAACGGGGTTTGTTGCAAGGCTGTCCAGCCAGCCCTGCGCTACTGAACGCTTTGATGACAGTTTGGGTGAGGTTTGTCAAACGGCAGGAACCAAGGATTTCTTTGGCTATTTATTTGGACGATCGCACCATGTGGAAACAAGGTTGTCAAAGTTTTGAAGTGGTCATCAACGCCATGACTGCGGGAGCGCAAGCCGATGCTATTCTCGGCTTCGAACTTCACCCTGACAAATTGGCTAGCTTCGCCACCAAACCGCATCTGGTTGTCAAGGTGCGCAAGAAGAAAGATTTAGTAGGTGTACCTGCGGATACTTTCACACTGCTTGGCATTCAATACAATTTGTCACGCCCCAGTTCTTGTGTTGATGCGGATATTGTCAGTGACAACATTCAGCGACGATGTCTCAAAATTCGTTTGGCAGCACAGCACTTAGGCACTCGCATTGCATTGGTGCATAAGTTGGTGATATCTTTATTTGCTTGGTCCGGTGCTTTTCATCACTTCAGTGCAAGAACCATTCGAACATGGACATCTATGATCGAAACTGCACTTTGGGGTCGAAGGGCTCCTCCAGGTAGGAGCCGGCTGCTCTTTTGGAATTCTTTGGGTTCTGCAAGACTACATCCGATGTTTGCGCTCCAGTTCACCGCCGCCCGGGCGGAATGGAATCGGCAATGCCGCCGTGCCCAAGGGTTGCCTGCAGCTACCTCGCCTGCTCCTCGCTGGAAAGCAGTGCTCAAAGATTGGAAATGGCGACTTGACGATGGCCTGTGGCACACGCCTGCTGGGATTTTGAAACCTGGGTGGATGTCTTTGAAAAGCTTGCAAAAAGCCGCTATCCATTCATGGCTCGTTGGTTTGTGGACTAAAGACACCAAAACGGATGGTCGATGGCCAAACGGCAAGGAGCCGGTTTTCCTTTTTCAGGCAAATGCAGCTTTAGGCATGGATTACTACAGTCGCAGGGTTTTGACTGGTGCTGCAGTGGATGGCAGGGTCGCAGAGCGCTTTGGTTCTGCTTTGAGTTGTGAATGTGGATTGCGGTCTCCTGATCGAGAACATCTCACTTTTCACTGCCAAGCGCAGCCATGGGATGGTGAGTTCAGGAGCGCTACTGAACGTCGTTTGCTGGTTCCACTTGTGGATGCTCCTCCTGTGTTGCCTTTTTCCAACATGGTTGCAGATCCTGCTTTGGTTACTTTTATTCAGCAATTCGATCCTCTTCAGCGACCCACCTTGGGTTTGGACGGCAGTTGTATCATAGCTACTTCCTGTGATCGATGGC